ATGAACAAGCAAACCTACCAAAAATAGGAATGCCACAGCACGGGCTGCTTCTCACCATCCGTTATCTTTGGGTGCATCAGTGTATCCCTTCCCTTCATCTTGTGCTCTCGTAAAGGCATATTATAAGAGCTGAGGAGACAGAAAGGAGAAAATTCACAGAATAAAAAGCAACTTGGCAACATGGAAAGATAGTAGTAACCATGCAAATATATACTGAAGGTAATTACTATCACTCAGAGCTTAAAAGGAAATACCCAGTTATCCTTAGGGAAAGTTATGATTTATGAGGGGCAGCTTAGGCTCACTTACTGTTTTTTATTGTCTTTCCATCTTATGATGATCCCAGCTAGAATTCCAAGGGCTACTGGGGGAACTAACAAAGAAAGAAGCAGAAAAAAACCAACGCCAAAATAAACAACAAATTTGGTATGTAATTTAAGTGAAATACTGCAGTTTGGTAAAAGACTGGTAGCAAAACTCTCTGCTCTGGGGCTGCCTGTCACCAGCCGGAGGCTCCCTCTCAGCCGGAATAATGCAAACCCCCTCCTGTGTCTCTGAACACAGCACAGAACCCACGGCTAAGTGTGGTGCCACGCTGATCTTCTTAAGGGTGGGATCCTCATTTATTTAGTGCTTTTATAGACAGCCCCCTGTTTCTTTTGTATTTTAAACATACTCACCGTTTTTAGTACTTGACCTCTTTTGCAGCAAGGATGTTCCAAGCTTCACTAATCTCTTATCTTTCAGTGTCCGCCAAGGCCTTTTAAAGCAACTTTATCACTTAAAGAGTAACGGGACGTACAGTTTTTGGTTGGTTTCTTACACTGGCTTCTTTGGCTTCTTTCATTTCATCCTCAGTTGACGTAATGTTTTATACTGAGACACAGACAATCCATCCAGTCGCTTGCAATGCTGCTGCATTACCCAACAGCAGAGAAAGCCCTGAATCCTGACCAGAGACACTCGGTACTAGGGGCAGTGAAATGAATAAACCAAAACCACCAACTCCAGGTATTTAACAGCAAATAACAGCCTCGGGTTAGGAAAGTATATTTTCAATTTTAAAGTACTTACCAATGCAACTAGGGATGAGGATACTTGCTAGAGAAGAAAAAAATTAAATTAATGTTAAAAAAATGAAGCCAACAATGCTGATAACTAAACAGGGAAGTTCCTTAATCTATGCCCGCAGAACAATATTATTCAAACCCAGATAATCATAACACTGCTGAGAAGACAAAATGCTATAAAACGATCTGTCATTAACCGCCACACACATCATTATGCTCTTCTTGAGTCCCCCACCCCACCTCTCTCCACCGACGGAGCTGAGGTCCACAGCTCCAGGCTACCTCCACCCTCAGCAACGTCCAAACACAGCCAAGATAATGTCAGTGGTTTCTACTGAGATGCTCGGCTGCACAGAGGGAGATTCAAGCATCAAAAATCCTACCCCCTATCATGTCAGCTAAGGAGTCACTCAGCTGGGAGCAGAGAGAAAAGGGGATTAGACCAGGGAATAAGCCCACGTGAACCCCTTAGAGGCTGGAAGATGGACCCACCAAAAGAAATGAAGAAGGCACAGCGAGAGCAGAAATCCAACAGCGCGTGGAGTCACAGGCGCCCGACGTGGGTGCAATTGTAGCAATTAAAATGACCCTGAGGCAGAAAGCCTCTCCTGAACTCTTACCTAGCCAGTAGGGATTCTCTGCTACCTTCTCTTCCAAGGGTTCAGTTTGGTTTGTCGCTGCCGTAGTGCTAACTATAGAGAGGGAAAAAAAAGGAAAACCACTCAAAATTATATTTTGGATAATTCTCCATTTATACATATTATATAAAATACTTCAGTGAGGAGTAAATGTAGCATGTGCAGGTGGCCTCTGACCTGTGCATCTGTGCCTACGACAGCGAGAGCTGTGGAAGAGTCACGCAGGGACCTCTTGGTGACACTACAAGCCTTACAGATAGAGGGGATTCTGCTGTCCCACTTGGCTTTATTGCCTGGGTGTTGTTGGACACTAGATATAAATCCATTCTGAGGTTTAGTCCATCAGCTTTGCAGTCACCGATACACTTCACACATCGTTTATTAAAATTCTGCCTGTTCCTCTTGAAGGGAAAAACGTAAAACTGTGTACGGCTGTGCCGCATTGTTCTTCAGCACAGCTTGGCACCTTGCAAAGCACAGACTTGCTAACCATCGCTGCTGTGCACAGATGCTGCTCCCCTGGAAACAAACCCTGCGGGAATGCCTGTCCAGACTGGCGTCCTTCCCTTTCTGAGAGAAGGGAATTAGGACTAATTAACCGCACAGCAAGAAAAACTACTCGAGAACACGACGATTATCCAGCAACGCTCACCCGTGCATTCAGGAGGAGACCCGCTCCAGACGCCATCAACGCTGTTCTCTGTTGTACAATGAAGAGTTTCATTTCCCACAAGCTGGAGCCCAGGGTCACACGTGTACATCACGACTGAGTTGTACGTGAACTCCTCCGTACTGTTGCCATTGTGCTTCCCATCGGGAATAGCTGGAGGTGGAGGACAAGAAATAGCTGGGGAAGAAAAAGGAAAGAGCTCAGGAGGTGATGCCTGGGATGCTCTTCTCCACGATGTGAAGAGAGGAAAACCCAAGGGCCGCTTGCACACAGGCTCGCATTGCATCAGGAGCAGGGGCTGAAATGGGAGCACTGGCCACCCTCTTGGCATGCAGTTACTTTTAGGTGCTGTCGTGGTTTAACCTCAGTCGGCAACTAAGCACCACGCAGCCGCTCGCTCACTCCCCCCCCCCCCCGAGGGGGGGGGGGGGAGGATGGGAAAATGATAATAATAATATGATGATGATGATGATAATAATACACAAAGCAAGTGATGCCCAGTACAATTGCTCACCACCCGCCGACCGATGCCCAGTCAGTCCCCGAGCAGCGGCCCCCCCCGGCAGCTTCCCCCAGTTTATGTACTGAGCGTGACGTCCCATGGTGTGGAATGTCCCTTTGGCCAGTTTGGCTGTGCCCCCTCCCAGCTTCTTGTGCACCTGCAGCCTGCTCAGTCGGTAGAGCATGGAAAACTAGAAAGTCCTTGGCCAGCGTAAGCATTACCTAGCAACAACTAAAACATCGGTGCCTTATCAATTTTGTTCCCATCCTAAATCCAAAACACAGCACTGTACCAGCTACTAGGAAGGAAATTAACTCTATCCCTGCCAAAACCAGGACAGGCGCCTCCCAGCCTGCTGTCCTGCGTACAGAGGGGCAGCGGCAGCCTGCAGGGACACCAAGGCCACTGGGTTGCTCATATATGTCAGCCTTTCACATGCAGAGGGCACCAGCGACGCTACTGGCTAGTCCCTGCTCTCATCACGCCAGCTGTCTCCTTTCCAGAGATACTTACCTAACTTCAGTTAGTAAAATCGACACACGATTCGGTATTTCTGAGTTGGAATATTTGGTATTTCCAGTCAAGAGCTGGACAACTTCACTTACCCCGACAAGCTGGAAGTTGACTCCAGGCAACTTCACCTCCCCTTAGGGAACACCAGACGAGAGGCGACGCTCCCTTTAATGTGTACCTGCAGGGGCAAAAGGCACATCAACAAATCAGTTTGTTGTCACCAACCAAGAACATGTCACCCCACAGAGGTGCCGAGGACTCGGCAGGCAGAGCCCCTTGTCCCGGCTTGCACACCAGCGACGCTGGCCAGGCGACTGGGATGCGGTGGGCAGCTGGCTTCACACTCACCCACGGTTACAAACTACGTCTGCTTTTGCACCGAACAGAAGATCATTTGTAATAACTTTGCCATGTTCTGGATTTGCTGGAATACCACAAGATTTCCCTAAAAAAGAGTAAGATTATCCTTAGGACACTACAAGGACAGGGAAAAACCCACAGACATGCTTTTCATGACAGTATGGCAATGACAAACCAGGCATCTGACAGTATTTCATGCTAAACGTCATTAAAAAAAAGCAATCCTAAAAAATCAGACGTGGCACTCGGAACACAGCACTGCGGATGCAGCTCTGGGAGGATGTTGGAGAAAATGAAACGACGTGGAGACACTCACTCCGACATAGCTCGGGAACTTCTGACCACGTTAAATCGTCAAGACAAGTGCTGGTGGGGAGCTGGTCTGTGGTATTCTCATAGCCCGGGCGACAAACATACTTCACCCTCGTATCAACAGCGTAAAAATTCTGCATTTCATCTTCTTGTGATATTCTAGCAAAACGCACGCGTGGTGGACTGGGACAGCTACCTAGCGACAACGAAGACAACCAACGGGTACGGTTACAAAGCAAAAATAACAATATTCTGCATTCAACTATGTATAAACATAAATCCAAGTGATAATGCACAAGCCTCCCTAAGAATATGGATACCACAAATACGTTTAAGAAGGTGATTGGCAATTTGTGTAATTCAAAAATATCCCTAGATGACTATTTAACGGAAAAAGATTTTCAGTGTTAAAATTTGCTCTCTTTCAATCAGTCACAAGCGCAGTGCTTACCTCCCTTGCCAATTCCACCGATGAAGCGTTTGAGGTGGGGAAGTGCAGCCAGTTCTCACTGCGGAGGTTTGCAAATCCCCAATGCCAAACCTTCCCCCTTAGGTAACTCTTGCGTCAGCAGTCAGCTGCGCCAGCGCTTCGCCACTATAGCTCTTTGCTTCTCTCTCCTGTGCTTCCCCAAGCTATTGATCTATTTTTACTGAGACACAAGCGCCAGCACACGGCTCCAACAGACTAAGCATAGTTAGGAAAAAGGGGCAGTAAGAGATTCTCTGACAAGCAACTTCATCGCGTGTCACTTTGGACGAGGAAACCCTTGAAACAGCGATTGCTAAAGCGGTAAAGGTTTCCACAAGCAGCTCGTTTCAGAGAAAGCGAAATACTTACGACCACAAAACTCCGGGAGGTTGGACCACTGGGAGTTTGCAAGGCACTGTATCGTGTCTGACAGCAAGGGGCGTTTAACATAACCTGTAAGGCATCTGTACGTTACTTTGGAGCCGACACTGAAGCTTCCCTGATGTTTCGTGTCCTCCGGGGGCTCGGCGTGGCTTATGTGTGGCAACGGCCCACAGTCACCTGTAGCAAAATAAACCTGGATTTGGTGGGGCTTCTACTAAAGCTCCCAGAGCAGGGCACAGCACAAATGCACACGCACATACACGACTCCGCAGGAGAGCACGGCACATGCACCCACGACACACACCC